CACTTGTGCTCTGTCTCTCTGTCCATGAAAAATAAATGAAAAAAAAATTTTTTTTAAAGACATTTTTATGAAAGAAACACTGTGTTATGTGGTCCCAGACCATAACTTGAATGGTCCCAGACCTAACTTGAATATCACACAGTATTGGAGAGCTTTTTGGAAAGCCCAGGCACAGATGTAAAGAATCAGAATCTTAAAGTGTGGGGCATTAAAATCTGTGTTTTCCAGGCGTACCTGGGTGGCTTAGTTGGTTGAGCGTCTGACTTTACCTCAGGTCATGGTCTCATGATTGTGGGTTCAAACCCCCCGTTGGGGCCTTGCTGATAGCTCAGAGCCTGCTTCTGATTCTGTATCTTTCTCTCTCTCTTCCCCTCTTCTGTTTGCCCTCTGTCTCTCAAAAATAAAAATAAATGTAAAAAAAAAGGTTTTTTTAATAAAATCAGTGTTTTCAATAGTCTCATATGTGATTTTGAAGCTAATGCTACCTTAGGAATGTCAAACATCCAGAAATAGCAAAAATTAAAACCACCAAATCAATAAATAATATTTAGTAAGAATCTCATGTGCATATAAGAACATTTCACAAAATGGGAGTTTTCAAATTCAGAGACTGATAGCCCAGGGGTATTACCTTACAGGATTGGCTTGTAAAGTGAAAATAAGTAAATTTAACCTTTACAATGATTGGTTATTACAATGGGGGTTCCCAGATGACAAGTTCACTTGTTTTGCACAATAAGTTAAATAAGTTTCAGTTATATGAATTAAATGGTTTTGTCTGCTCGGGGAATTTTCAAACCCAGTGTCCATTTTATATTTACTTTTAACAGAAACCACTGATAATCCAGATAATCCAGAATTGTATTTTCAATGGCATCCCCACAATAAATAAAGTAACAAATCTCCCATGAATGTTTCAATAATGGGTACTTCATTCAACCTGTAGCCAAATCACAGCTGAATAAACGTGATTCCATGAATAAACAAAGGAATGAAGCCACATATGCAGAGTTCTGATATCTGCCTGCATCCAGGGGGGAAAAAATAACATATTCAGATAATCGAAACGACTGTAGAGTTTCCAGACAATTCACTATGCATGTATCTCTTATGTACATACCATATTTTCCAACTGTGTTCTTGGTGCATTGAATGGTAGAACTCTAGATTATGTTCCTTAAGTAAAACATTTGGGATTCTTTTGTTGTTGTTTTTTTTCAATATATGAAATTTATTGTCAAATTGGTTTC